TTAAAGATTTAAAAAATAATAAGAAATAAGGTGTAAAAATTCAATTAAAAAAACACATCCAAACACGGAAACCGCGTGCGCTGCGCTGCTGCGAAACCGCATCAAAACGTAGTTGATACTGATTCATTCACACCTACCTTTTTATCAGACCCATGAATGGAGAAGAAACCTATCATCAGCAGTAGATGCATACCGGGAAATGATTTGGTGCGAGCAATTGATGGTGGAGGAGGTTTTGGAAATGGGCCCCATGGATAAGTTGGCTGACATTTGTCCAAAATGTTATGGACCTCAAGTGATTGGAAAAAACCCGGAGGAGCCAGATCATATTGTATGCATGGATGGCAATTTCCAGCACAAGCGACATCTAGCAGCCAGTGTTGAAAACCCGAATCACCTCAAAACCCCAAGTTTGTTTATTGAACCACACATTGCTTTGGAAATGAGACAATTGAAGGAACTGAATCAAAATAATGAGAGTGCAGTGAGCTTCCATCATTCATAACCATTGGCAATTCTTTCTTTTGTTTATGATGTTTCCACTAGGGGAGTGATAATCACACTCCACCCCCCTTCGCACACACACTCCAACACTCCCTTCTCTGAAGGGAGTGTGGGACCGCACTCCAATTGAAATTGGAGTGCAGGTCCGCACTCCAACCCTCTGCGCGGGCATTCCCCCAGCAGGTTGGCGTGCGGGTCCGCACGCCAATTTCAATTGGCGTGCGATGCTGCACACCAGCCGTTAAGCAAGGTTGCCTCGCTTGCAGGCAGGCGTGCAGCCAGCGATTCCATATGCCTCAACCTAAACCCATATTCATATGGGTTTAGGTCGAGGCATATCCCATAGGACCCAGGGATGGGTCCTATGGAGAGACGGTCTGACCGGTTCAAACCTTGAACCGACATGGGTTCAAGGTTTGAACCCTGACGGCCATCGGCCAAGGTTCAAACCTTGGCCAATGGCCTTGAAGATCCCTGTAGGACCCAGGCCTGGGTCCTACAGGGATTCACTTTGTTTGAACCCTGACGGCCCATAGTCCAGCTCATCGGGAGGGTTTCCTCCCGATGAGCTGGGTT